AGCTATCTCTGTCAAGGCCGGGTGGCTGGCTACGGCTGTGAACTCCTGTTTTTCTGATTCCTTCAGAATGGCGTTTTTTAGGCTAAGTTATTGGGGGGGGGGGGGGGGATTACATCGGCCCAACGCCCCATGTCCTCATAATGGAGTAGGGGTCTTTCAAATCTGGGTGTCAGTCACATCATTACACCTTATGGGCTCATAACCCATCAAGCTATGATTAGAATGTGTGCACTTTTCTGTATGTTAAAATTCAATTAAAAATAATCCTGTTTGTTTTTTCCATACAGGGTTTCTCTGTGTGGCCCTAGCTCTCCTTGATCTGTAGATCAGGCTGGCCTTGAACTCAGAGATTTGCCTGCCTCTGTCTACTGAGTGCTGGGATTAAAGGCATGCACCTCCACAGCCTGGCTAAAATTAACCTTAAAATAGTGTGAAAAGTATGAAATATAAAACAGGGGAAGCTTCTGTTCTAGGTTAAGCTCCTGCACAAGGCTCAGACAGACCAGAATAAAAAACCAAAACTGGAGTCACTCACAATGAAGTCCACCAAGCTGAAATCCAGCCATTTATCTGGCCCAAGAAATCCAGATTACAGTCAGGCCAGACAGGCCAGTTTAAACTAGTATGATGACATTCCAACTGCCATTTACCTTTCACAAAAGAAGTAGCATGCTGTTTCATGAGACCAGGCATTGCTCTGTAGCTCAGGCTGGGCTTGCTGCTGAATTATGAGACAGAAAATTAAGCCAGGATCAAGGGGTGCAGTTACAAGGTAGAGCAATTGCATAAGTCTTTGGCTTCAATCTTCAACAAAAATAAATAAACAAGAGTCAGATGCTGTGGGGATGACAAGATAGGTTAGTCTTCCAAGAAGGGGAAAGACCCTTAGGGAAATTAGGCCTATCTGGTCAAAGGTGACGATGGATCTTGCCCTTATTTTAATTATATTTTTGGCGTTGCAGTTGAAAATAGGGTCTTGTGCACATGGAGTAGGCACTCTACCATCCTTAACTCCAAATATTTGTGGGTCAGCAAGAGGGTAAAGTAGCTTGCTCCCGGGCCAGTCATGAGTTGATACCCAAAAACTCACGTAGTGGAAGGAGAGAACCAATTCCTGAAAGCTGCCCTCTGACTACCATATACCATGTGAGCGCTGTGGCTTGTGTATACGGGCCCCACAAATAATGTAATAAAAATTCAAAAATAGATACTGCTTATGTTTTTGCACCAACTTTCTTTTAAAATATATAATTAGAATATGCATGATTTACCTTGATTACTGAGCTTTTGGGTGCCTCCTTAAATACAGCACCTAAGGTACCCTCTTACCCTGCCTGATCCCTGTACCGCTGGACAGGCAGGGGCTGAAGGTCGGGATCAGTGTTCTCAGTGCCAGAGCAGAGTCTCTTCGCGCGTTTTCTCCCTTCTAATGAGAAGAAAGCAAAAAGAAACAAGCTCTTGGGATTGTAATATTTTCCCGGGTCTGACACGAACAGTTATCTTGTTGGGGCTACACCAGTTCAACACGCAGGCTTAAAAATGGGCGGCCAGAGCCGGGATACCAGAGACGTCCGGACTCTGGGCTCCTGATTGGCTGGGACAAAAATCACTCAAGAAGGAAGACACCCTATCAAAGTGCAACGGCACCAGCATTGCGTCATCAGCGAGCGACAAGTTTTACGTAAAGTAAGCTCCTTTCTAATTGGCTCCTTTCTCCAAGAGCACCTGAAATGGCGTTGGGGATTCGTGTTCTTCAAATCCTAGACTTCCGGTATCTGTAACGACAAGGAAGACTGGGAAGAAATTTGTTAAGTTTTTCAAGTTCGGTCCCTCTGGGGGCCGGGCTTCGGAGGCTGGGGGCGTGGTTCTCTACTGGGGGCGGGACTCTCTCGGAGAGCCGAGTGGAGTCTCGGAGTTGGGCTTCCCTAGCGAGAGGGAGGCGAGGCTTGGGGCGGGGCCACAGTGATGGGCGGGCCCAGAGGACCGCCCCCGGCGGGCTGTGGACCTGCGCTCAGCACCGAGGAGTCACTCACTGCGAGCCTTTCCTCGCGCCGCTGTCTGTTCTGAGCCATGGCTCTGCGCTGCTGGCGCCGGTGGCACTGGTCCGCGTGGCCTAGGGTCCGGCCGCCTCCCTCCAGGAGCACCCCGAGTAGGAGCAGGGCTCTTGGGGCTGCCCCAGGGCGAGGGGAGGCTTGTGATCGAGAGCAGGGGTCCGAGCGGAGCTGAGGCAGGACTGGGCGAGGGGCGAAGCTGGAGGTGTCTGCTCTTGCGGGAGAGATGGGAGTGGTGTACCGGGGAGAGGGTCTGTGCGATGAGGTGTGAGGCGTCCTGGGTAAGACACTGGTCAGTAAAGGCGAAAAGGCTAGACTGTGAGGTCCGCATGTGTGAGACGAGGTGAACTGGGGGTGACAGGGAGGTGAGGATATGAACGATAGAGTTCTGTGGGAAAAGAAAGGATAGGAAAAAAAAGTAAGATAGAGACGTGATGGGGATATAAAGACGTGGAATCATACAGGGAGCCCCACAAGAAAAATGAAGTGCTGTGCAGGACAGATCCAGGGTCCAGGCGGGTCTGGCGTAGGCTATCGTTATTGGCGTAGCATGTTCATAGGTGAGGCATGGGGTTCTGGATAAAGTCAGCCTCTGGCATTCAGATGGAATGATGGAGCTTTGAGGAACAGAAGGAAGATGCAGGTGAGGGTGAAGGGCAGGCTGCAATTGGACAGAATTGGTTGGGGTGGTTAGAGAGTGTTGATTTAACCTTGCCGTCCCCTCCTCTGCCCAGCCCCAGGCTTCTGCCAGCAGTTCTCCACACGGGAAACGACCCCTCAGATCTGTGTGGTTGGCAGTGGCCCAGCTGGCTTCTACACAGCTCAACACTTGTTAAAGGTAAGTCCTCTCTCCAGGCTCCTTTCTCGCCTTTCGTTTCTTGCCCCGATTCTGTGGCTGGGCTCCAGCCCTTTGGTTTGCTTGGTAAGGAAGGGGCTTCCAGCCCACCTAAGCTGTGTCCTTTCTACCTGATTCCACACCTATATCTGAGGTTCCCTCCTGAGGTCCTCAGCTGTGAGAGAAATGTGTTTGTCCCGTGATTGGTGGTCAGGGACAGATGGGCAGCACTGACTGCTTCACCAAGCAGGGAAGTTTATTTCAGTCTTGTGGGATGGCTTTACCCCCCCCCCCCCATCTTCTTTTACATTTCTCCATCTCCAGTGTTCTACATGTCAAGGCTGTCTGCTCTTAAGCTTTGCTGCCCTCACCACAGCCCCAGCCTCCACATGGCCATTTTCTCCCGCTAAAGGCCAAGGTCTCAAAGTTTTCAGCATCAGTCTTGTCAGACCGGACTCCAAGGCTACCAGATGTACTTGAAACTCTATCTCAGACCTTAAGGCAAAAGAGGAAGTGGGGGGGGGGGGCTGGAGAGGAGGCTCCATGGTTAAGAGTTGTTTGCTGTCTCAGAGAGAATGGGAGTTGGGTTCCCAGCACCCACATAGTAGCTCACAACTCCAGCTCCAGGGGATCTGACGTCTGCTTCTGGCTTCTGCACACACACACACACAACTAAAAATAATAAAATAAGTATTTTTTAAAGTAAGGGATACTAGGATTGACTGAGATGAGACAGTGTTTGAACTTTAGAGAGGCTTGTAATATCTACAGGACAGGAGACAGGACAATTATATTGATAATACATGCAGATACTTGAAACACAGTAGTGTGACCCACTGGCCTGGTTTACTCAGGGTTGACACTAGGAAGGTCTCATGGAGATACTCTGCTGAGAAGTGACCTATGCATGACTCTGCAGCTACTTACAGACTACTCACACAGGGCATCGTGACCAGAAGCTGCTCCTTAGAAATGCCCACGTGAGATGCACTGAGGACCACATGTGGCTTTGGCAAGCTCCCCGGCCCTGATGTGAGGAGTCAGCCTGGAATGCAAGGCCCCTGATAAGGACAGCCTGGCCTCTGGGATGGAGACTCATGGGCTTTCAGGGCTGGGGTGGCAGGGGTGGACAGATGAGTGGTGTGGTTGGTATCCAGGAGGGTTTCTTGTGAGAGGCACTGACTGTAGCTGAGGGTGAGAGGATAGCCTGGAAGGCGGGGTTCTTGGTGTCTTCTCAGTGGGCCAGATCTTGACCTATAGGCATGTGGATGTAGTTTCTTGTGCTCCTAGCATTCTAGCTTGAGGAGGCTGGTTTGCAAGGTATTTTAGAGCTTAAACTAGGTGAACCCTAACCCAGTCTAGAGGGAGAGGTGTCTAAACTGCATTTTGTGGAGGATGTGAGGCTGGAAGAGCAGGAGTGCCTCAGGTGTGGGGAATGATGTGGACAAAGGCCAGAGGAAGGAGAATGGGCCCTTTGGCATCATTCCAGAGCCTGTTCTGGAAGGTCAGTGAGTGTCTGAGGGGTGAAGAGGTGAGAGATGGGGCCAAGGAGGCAACTGGAGCCCAGATCACAAGGAGCCTAGAAACCGTGGGCCACACTGTAGACTTGAGTGGCTTTCTTTGCACATTCTCCATATTCCCTGCTGGAGAACTCTTATTTAAATGAGCTTTTCTGGGCCCAGCTCAGATTTAATCAAACTCCATGACTAGGACCCTCAGAATCAGCAGTTTTAAGCAAACACCCTGGGGGATTCTGACATTCACAGACATAGGAAACTGGCTTCACTCAAGCATCTAAGGCGGAGGATCTGAGTTTGGTTCCCAGAACCCACATCAGGTGGCTCACAACCACCTGTAACTCCAGGGGCTCTGAACCCATCTTCTGCCTCTTCAGGCGCCAGTACTTATGTGCTTATCCACCCCCCCCCCAATTTAAAAAAATATGTTTAAGAAAGGAAAAGCAAGGAGCCCTCCATGGGGGTTGAACACAAGGCCTTGTGAATGATAAACAGGCATTCTACCAGTTTGCTGCACCCTCAGCCCACTTTTCATTTGGAATATTCTCTCTGAAGGGTAGACTTAAGCAGGGCTATTTGCCCAGAGAGCAAGAGAGTGGGGTCAGGATGGGGAGCTAATAGGTCAAGGTGAAAGGGGAGGTCGAAGGCTCGGACTGGAGCTCCAGGGCCTGAGACAGACGGGGACACAGTGTAGAGGGGAAAGGGTAGAGGACAAAGGGTGGGATGAGATGTACGGAGTGAGACGTCTGGATCTCAGGTTCTGACGTCTCAGGATGAGGTCAAGAGATAGAGTGAAGAGATGGGAGAAGAGATAGAGAAGCCATGACAGATCGGCAAGACTTGAGGTCACAGGAGGGAGTAGGTAAGATGTTCCTAGGACATCCTGAGTGTGTGTCCAGGAGGACCAGAGGACACCAGACCAAAGTGCTCCAGAACCTGCCCTTTTTAGGAAAATGGCCAGAGAAGCAGCCCAAGGAAGATGGGTCTTTGTGTGAGACTGGGGTGGAGGTGGGCTAGGGGAGGACCTTGTGCCGGAAGGAAGACTCCCTTTGTAGCAGGATGGAGTGGAAGATGGAGACAGGGAGGTCAGGTTGTGTTAGGGGTGCCTGGCAGGCTAAGCAGTTTGAACTTTGCCCTATGGCAGTGAGAGAAGCATGGGGAGGTTTTGGAACAAGAAATGATGTGCTCCAAGGGCAGTCACAGTTGTGATGATCCTGGATGAGTCCATTGTGCCCTCCCACTGGGGGAACCCAGGGCTGAGAGCTTGGGTCTGACTCACTCAGCCTTGAGTGTGACCCAGGGGGACAGGACATTCTTATCGCACAGAAATGTGCAGCAGCTTTCCCTGTGACAGCCAGTTAGCACTGGAGCTGGGCCTGGCTCTGGCTGCTGACTTCATGGCCTGAGCTCTTCATGGGTTCAGTTTCCATGGAGCTGGAGAGAGGTGATTTGGGAGGCCACCCCTGAGCTGGCCAAGGAGAAAAGGCAGATGGGCTGGAAGGCTGGACTTAGGGCCGATGGGGGAATGGGTGGAAGCAGGATTTGGGCAAAGGCAGTAGGTGTGTGTGTGGGGGGGGAATTAGGCAGGAACTCACTGCCTTGAGTCCTTTTGAACTGGGTGGGATAGGGCAGGGCTCAGGGCCTGCTCCCCTGCTCCCCAACTCTCACTGTCCTGCCTTTCCCAGGCTTCCCAGTTCACAGAGGAGGAGACCAGGGTGTTGTGGGACCTACCAGGCCCATGCTGTTGGTAGCAGCAGAGCCAGACCAAGCTTGCCTGGCTGATTGCAGTCTCATACCCTCCCTATACCCTGCAAAGTGCCCTGGAAGGATAGACAACATGGGGTAGCCGGAAGCTGGGAGTGGGCCCACTGCCACTCCCTCTGTCCACACATGTCCCAGCTGGGCCCTCACTCCCTCTCTTGCGGAGGGAGCATCACGTTCGAGACTTAGAACTAAGGCAGGTTCTCAAAGATGGGTTCTCCGGTCACATGGCCAGCATGTCTAGAAGGTGAAGGTATATATCTGGCCCGAGGATTAAGTCCTGATACTTGCTTCCAGCTTCTCACATTCTCCGTTGGAAGTCCTTGAATCTGACCTCAGCTTGTCTGGCTGCGTATGTTCCTCCAGAGCCCTTGTCTGGGCGGACAGAGAGCCAGAGCCTTCTATCTGCTCATGGATGGTGGGGCCAGTCTCCTTGGCCGTTTGTGCTGAGCTTTCTTTCTCTGTCTGGGGAGGGGGAAGGGAGGCCCCGTGGGGGCCCAGCTTCCCTCTTGAACCCACCAGCTGTGCTTTCCCCCCAGCACCACACCCGGGCCCATGTAGACATCTACGAGAAGCAGCTCGTGCCCTTTGGCCTAGTGCGCTTTGGTGTGGCACCTGACCACCCGGAAGTAAAGGTGGGTGTCTTTCGGTGTGGAGGTGGTGTTGGAGACAGTAAAAATGAGGAGGATAGAGAGGCTCCCTGGTGTGGTAGGATGACCTTTGGCTCTCTGTGTGATGGGACCCGGGCTCCATCCTGGGGATCCTGGGGTGAGGGTGGTACTGACATGCTCCCAGGAGCTGCTCTGTCTTCAG